TTATTTTATTTTATTTGATTTTATTTTATTTATTTTTCTTAAATATATTTTATACAATTTTCTTGTAATTTATTTTATATCAAACGGCCTTTCTTTTAATATATTGATTTCTAAGTGGGTTTAGTTTAACGTGGCATGGAGGCTTCGAAACAAGTCCCGCTAACTTTGACACTTTTTACATGTGCATGACCTTGATAAAGTTCAACTTGTTCACATTATTTAATTAATAATATGCATCAATCAATACCGACACCGAAAAATCAACATATAAATATATTTAAAAATTTACATGCGTAAACATACAACAAAAATATGTGTGTACATATGTATAGTTGTATTCTACAAATACCGGATTGTATATTGGCCTTGATTGTGTTCATTCGAAATACTCACATACATACATACATATGAATATTTGAATGCATTTATGCACTAACTAGTAACCTCATTCGAAAACTAGAATGGTTCAACATGTAAGTACTTTTTTAAATTATTTTAAAAATCGTATTAGAGCAATATACATATATATAAATTAATTTATTTATATTTCATTTTTATTTCATTTCATTTTTACTGCCAGAGGTATTTTCCTCGAAAATTCATTATACTCTGAACTATGGAATCTCATCATGAGCCTGAAAACTAACTTTGGAAATTGTTAAAAAGCACTGGAATATTAATATTTTATATATTAAATAACATATATTATGTACTTTTACTGAAGTAGATTTTTAGCTTCCACTCCATAGCCTAACTACTAGATCCAATTGAAAATAATTAATTTCAATCACAGATAATGAAAACACAATTAGAATTAAGTTAACCCATAGGTACCTTGCTTAGATAAAATGTTAGAGCTTAGTAAATTTGTTTTTCAATGATTTGCTCCTTGATCGATTATACATCGCAAAATAGTAAAACAATCAAATTTGTGTTATCATTCCCGTAGTGGCGATAACAAGTGAAGTACATACATAAATACATATGTAGTTTATACAATTATGTGTATATAATTATATGCATATACGTACTTGTATAAAAACTTAGAAGCACCATAAGTTTTCCATTAAACAAAGTCCTCCCATGGAGTTCTCGTTATGGAAAGTTAGAAGTCATGACGTCACCTCTCCCACGCACATTTGCTTTTAATGTCAGACAACTTCATGAGAATATCATTTATGGATTCTACATATACGAAATACATACACAATATGTATAAATTCCTTTTTACAACACAAAAGTTCCAAATTTTTAGTAATGGTACCTATAAATTAGTCATCGCTGTAGTCCATGCAACATTTCACAAACTTGTTCTCGAGCAAATTATCATAAAATATTTGTTGGCCATTAAAGTTAGATTATTTGAAACTAAAAAATAGTTTTCTAGACACATGGACGGTCCCTGTTGCGTGACGTGAACTTGCACACAAAAATGTTTTTAAATTATAAAAACTACATTACGTACTAAATTCCATCCTACAGTATAATTATTTTTCTATTTAGGTCAACGTTGTCTTAAGCAAAATAAACAAAATCAATATTGATGATAAAAGGTAATAAATAATGGTGAATGGAAATGACTGAGTAACGGTAAAGTAACATTAAGGTGCGATAGGCAAGTGGTCGCGGTGCATACTGCCATTCGGAAGGTTAAGGTTCGTGTCCTTCTCCAACAAACAACCAAAAATTATAGAAAAGTAATTTAAATAAAAATAATTAAGTTAAATTTTTTAATTGCGGTCGACCCTCCGCAGGTAATGTTTAACCTTCTGAGTGTATTTGCAACATGAAATTAATGCTCCGCATAAAGAAAACTAAAGTACCGGGTAGCATTACAGCCGGAGGTCAATTGCCTGATATCCGTGAAACCTCATGTATTTAATAGGATCCCCAAAGAAACAGATGCTATACGGTAAGTAAGAAGGGCACAATAGATCGAGAATTTTCGAACAGCTACGAAATATTTTGGTAATTTTCTATAATTTTGGATGTTTGGTCACATCAGGACTCGAAACCTTGCCCCTCCGAATTTCAATACGCAATAATAACCCCACTGCTAAAGCGTCCGACGCGGTTTTTTAAAAACAAATTATTTAATAATAATTTTTGCTATAAGTAAACTAAAGGCCTGGTTTCTTTTCATGAATTGAATATTTTTTTATACAACAAAGAAAAATGGTAAAAGTGACAGCTGTTTCGGAGATCACCACATTTCCTCATTAGACTTCTTATGGCAGGGATCGAACCAACGGATCCTGACTTAACAGGCACCAACATCAGCCATACAATCTGTTGTTGTATTATTCAATTCATTATTCACCAACAAGTATTAAGTGCGCTATTTATTTTTCCAAAAAAAAAAATTATTTAATTTGAAAAAATACCACATGAAATAAAAAGTACTTTTTTCTGATTTTTTTTTTGTATTTTTAATTTTTTTTAATTTCTTTTTTTATTTCTTTTTTTTTTTTAATTTTCTTCTTAATTTTTTTTTTCATTTCCCTTTTTTAAATTTTTTTTATTTTTTTTTTTTTTACTTTTATTTTTCTATTTCTTTTTTTAATTTCTTTTTTGATTTCTTCCCTTAATTTTTTTTTTTAGTTTTTGTAACAATATACATACATATGTTTAAGCATATGTACCTACATGCTGGTATACTACTACATGTAGTCTATGAAATTATACTTATCGAAGAATATTAAATTAAAGGCCATAGAATTCAATTGCCGTATTAAAATTTATACTTTATCAAACAAGAAACAAGTGCACACTTACAAATGTACACACTTATATGTACTTGTGTTGGTGTATAATTGAATATCTACAACTTTCACTTGATTACAGCAATAAAAAGCAACAATATACATAAATAAATTATTGCCGACGTACAATATTTTGTTGTGGCAGACAAAAAAGAGGGTGGTATCAAAAATATACACTGACATAATACAGACGAGGCGGACAGACTTGATTATCCACCTACGGAACTACAAATACAATATTTCATTTACGCCAGCATATAAACTATTAAAAAATACGGATTCTTGGCGCTCCTTTTTCTATGAATAAATAAACTTATTTCGGAGGTACAGATATATGATCAATGTATCATATTAATATATGTATGTATGTATGTTTATACTTAAGCAAGAAATAAAGGATTTTCCAATAAGAGTGATATGATTTCTTGGAAAAAAGAGAAATATTGCGGTAGTAAAAAGAAATCCATTATTTTTCCAACAGATGACGCTATTTATCTGTATCTCGCGTTGTATAAGTCCGATCGGGTTCAGCTAGATGACTTTAGAAAGATGATATTTCGTGAAAAAAAAATTGATACTACAAAGAGAAAATACGCTATATTTTACAGTTTTTCATCGGTTTCATTTCGGTAATGAGGATTTTTTTGATGTAAAAAAGATGCTTCACGGAAAGGTCAATTGTCGAAAATGTCGACAAAATCATGAACATTGTCGGGTCCGACCTTTAAGTATGCCATTTGAATAAGGCTGGATACGAAAAGAAAAAATTAAACGATTCAATTTTATTCAAAAATAATGGATATCGATATAAATAAATTCTGAATGTAACATCATTGAAAAAGCCTTCACGACTACTTTTGCAGAAACGAATTCGATGAAGCCAATTTTTGAGCGCTTTTTTTACTCAATTTACTTATGAATAGCGCGTTAAATATGGACTTTTGAAGCTTAAATCATACCCTCGGTTTATTGCTAAAGACCAATGATTTCAAATAACTCCACAAGAAGTAGTATAATCACAACTTCTTTGAGGTCATTCTATGTGACAATTTCTTGAAATAATCGAATCTCCAAACCTTTCTCACAATAATTCGGTTGTTGCACGTGCTATATGACACTTAGCTCCGTCTTGTTGGAACCAGATGTGGCCATAAAAAGTAGTTTATCATCGTTCTATACCGTTCTACATTGACAGTAACGATGCTACCAGCTTCAATTCGAAAGAAGTTGGGATCGATGATTCCACCAGACCAAAAACCACAACAAACTGTCAATTTAGGTGAATTTGATGGCTGTTCATGAAGAATTTGCGGATTTTCTTTGTTCCAGTGAGACCCATCGGAAAAGATGATTTTCCTAAAAAAAGACAAAAGACAACTTGGAAACGTTGTTGTTGTTTGTAAACGTTTTTTTTTGCATATATCTTGCCATGATTAAATTGTAAATATTACTAAATACAATAAAATATGACAGATCTTGACATATTAAAATTGGCCAAAACGGCACTTAGAAATTATTTCATCGCTATTGGGAACCCCTTTAGAAATAGGTAGCTATGTTTAAGTTAACAAAAGCAATATATAATATGAAAATATGTAAAGTCATTAAATGAACAAAAATGGTGTGTGTTTCTTTTTATATTATGTATGTTTGTATACATTTCCAGCTCATAAACTACAGTAACATATTTTTTCTATCGCCTGCAAATACAAAAAAATTGTTTTTATGCGCTGCAGAAAATGTCCTATTGGTTTGGCAAATAAATGAATGAGGTAAGGGCATTAACGTTTAGACCGACCCATTTAGCTCCGTGTCATGGTATTACGCCATATATAAATTTTTTTCTGGGCCTCGGTAAATGTTGTAATGGATAAATACATAAATATCAAAAAAAAAAAAAATAGAAACTTCTACGTCATTTTCTCCTATTCTATAAACATTGCGGCCCGTCTGTATGTATAAAAAGGACATTGATGGCTTACAATATTGTTACTTTGACGGTGTAACAACACCTACATACAAAAAAAAAATACACATACATACATGCATGTGCATACGTAAGTCTTCAACAGACAGCTATTATCGTCCTTGCTGTATGCCAAGGATGCGCGCAATTTAAGTCAAGGATATACATACATACATATGTAGTACATATGTACATACATACATATATTGTATAAATAGGAACATCTATCTCTATATGAAAAGTTAGTTGAAGCAATTGCAACACATGCTTACCTCAATGTTACCCATAGTTTGGAAGGCCGTAAAAACGAACATAAAGCCGAAGCCCAATATAAGGACATTGACGAACTTCAAATCCATGTTTCAGCTTGCTTGTTGTTGTGTTGTGCGTATTGCAAAAATTTAAGTATAATATTCAATAATTTAAATGCAAAAATTATTATGCTGCGGGACGTTAAATTCAGCACTTAATCGTCTTTATTGCACTAGCTTGTATATGTATCTGTATGTAAAGTTTTTGGTCGGAGTGTTGTTTAGTGTGTTGGTGGTTGGTTGATGGTGGGTCGTTTGAAATCTATTCTATGACCGACGAGCAAACACTCGAGACGCTTAACCGATGCACGGACACATGTACGCCCACTACGAACTGCCTACACTTCCGCACTTGCTCATATGCATGAATATATGCATATGTCCTCGATACGTATGTATATGGTTTACAAGCCGCAAATCCTTTTCAATGTGAAGGCAATGTTGTCACAACCGATTTTTAAGTTTAATGCATTTGACAAAAAAGTTATATGCATTACAAACTCACTTTGAAGATAACTCATTCGGGTTAGTTTTCTCACTGCAAATTTATATACATTTAACCAAAGTCACGTTTAAAATACAAGCATTTATTACATACATATGTATGTACATACATATATTTCACAATTTACGCAGAACAGAGAAATCTAAGCAAAGTACTATATTTTCAACTGCACAATAAAATTTAATAGCTTTAGCTATGTGGGTATACTACTGTCAGTGAACTGTGTGGGCGGTGACTTTCCGTAGTCCATGATAGCCAATGTAGACACTTGACGTCTGATTATATTGTATTTCCTTTCAATTGTTTGTTATTTTTCTGATAAGTGAGAATGTTTTACACACTGTGATTTTGCATTTGAACCTTTAAAAGTTAACACCCTTGCCTATTTTGATTGAGTACACGCAATATCTATTCGTAATAGAAACACATTTGAGCGAGCATCCAATTTTAAAATCAAGTAGGTTTTAAGCGTATGAATTTTGACAGAAGGGCGTCTGAACAAAAAGAAATCAACTGCTGCACCGATGTTACTGACAAAGAACAACGTAATATAAACACGATTCAAGCGACGTTGTCAGCGATTGAAATCAAAATGAGAACTGGAGTCAGAAGCTTCAATTCTGATATATAGCAAGCAAGCTCCAACCTCAGAGGCTGTCTGCCATGAGAGCGCCAGAGTATACAGCGGACACAAATACTTTGGTACAAATAAGAGCGATAATAAGCGTTTGCGCTTTGATATCGTGTGGTATTTGCTCTATTGTGTGTGTGCGCGTGTGTGCCTTTGCAAGAGAAGGGTGGAAGGCCCCCCACGAATCACAGGTTCTTTTTTGGAGATATGTATGAAAACAGAAAGACCGATGAAAATATTTTGATAACACACCTGCAAAAAGTAAATAGAAAATTGTTGAAAAATGAAGTGGAAACATAATCTGAACACTTCCTAAATTCATGTTGCCAGACTGTTACTGTCTGAAATAGTGAGTCGGTTACTGAATTATAAAAGCAACCATTTGCAAAGAACTTATGTGAGCCCCCCTCCAGGTTAAAGTTAGTTCCCGCGACAGTCGGAGCTTTTTACCGGAAAACTTCGGAATTTTATGCGGCCTAATGCTGCAACTACCCAACTTACGTACCAGCCGTCCATAGTAACCTATCTTATAAGAGCGCCATGTAAACACAAAGTTGTCACCGCTTGCCCATGCCGTTAGTGTCGGTTGTCTCGCAGAAACCAACGGCGGTTTGAATTTTTCCGTAAAACCGGTTCGGCTCATTTCTCGTTGCTATACATGGTTGCCCGTATAGTCTTTCTTAAAGTAACATTAAATAATCGAGGATAATGCGTAGTTTTGTTCAAAAGAAATGAAAAATAAATGCGTAACTAATTATTTGTGACCATATAGATCATGTATATTCGTCTTGCGTTTATATTCAAGCATATAAATTATGATATTCGTTGACGAAAAACACACAAACACACTGGCAGCTGGCGCTCTCAGTAGCGTCGATAACTCGTGTATGTATCTCGCCTTGACGTCGCCAGTTATGGACGGCTGGTAAGTTAACTATGCGATCTTTTAGTGAAATTATGCTATTTTGGGACAATTCCTCTTCTTGCCGATTAATAAAGTTTCCTGCAGTGAACCCTTAGTCAATGTATAATGATCTGGCAGCTTTTTTTTAGTGTTGAACAGCAATAAAAATTCCATTTCTACATCGCCACATGTTAAATTATGAATATTTAATTAGTTTCCAATGTGCAATGAAGTAATTCATAAATGGGAGAATAACAATTTATAAGTATTAGCAAATCAAATACAGTGCCAAATAAATTTCGTAAACTTAGAATTAAGTTTTTCTACACAGCTTATAACACTGACAGGCTCGCCTAAAAATAGGCAATACTTCGGTTGAAAATTAACAGGCACTTCTTGTACAATAATTGTAAGCAATCAGGGCTATATCAAAGGAAACACAGTGCCGCATATATAAATATACACTTCCATGCTAATATAAATACATATATTTTATAAACAAAAAAGCATAACCGGAGAAGAGGCCATACAAAAAATCAAATACGAATTCTCGCATTAATAAACAAGTGTTTGGCTGAGGTAGAGACAGCATCTGCAAAATTTTACCTGCGTACTGTAACGCTAATTGAATTAAGTAAAAGTACAAGTTTTAAGAAAACGACTTTTCATATAACAATCACTGCCATATTTATTCCATAAATAAAACACTAAGGAAAAATGGAGCCAAATCTCGTACAGCAACTGGTTAACGCTGCCGAGAAGGCAGCCAATATTGCGCGTATATGTCGTTCCAATGAGGCGCTATTACAGTTATTGGTACAGGAAAAAACTGGACCGGAAGCGAATGCACGTTTCGAACATGATTTCAAAACCCTTGCTGATGTGCTGATACAAGAGACTATCAAACACGATATTGGTACGCTGGTAAGTGTTATAATGGTCTTTGTGCTTGTTCTATATATTATATATAACCCCCATCAAAGTTTCCGGCAATGCGCGATGCCATCAAAGGGGAAGAGTCGCCGAATTTCAAAAATGTAGATGGTGAGTCTGTGACTATTGCTATAGGTGAGACGGCAGAGGAAACTGCGAATTGCCTCGCGTCTATACTAAATGGTAACTTTTATTTTAATTGGTTTTTTTATATTTTTTTTCATAAATATGCTATTTTTCCCCAGTTGAAGTAGCGGAAGTGCTTGCCGGTGAAGTGCATCGCGCTGTGGTGTACGAGGAATCACTTTTAGGGGAAATACCTGCACTGCCCGCTGATTTGGATTATAGCAATTTGGGCATTTGGATTGATCCAATAGGTAAGTATCAGAAATATTATAAAATGTTTTATTTGTGGCTAATAAAAACTTTCCTTAGATGGCACCGCTGAATATATATCCGGCGATAGCATATTCACCGACTTTCCTGGCATTACCTCAACTGGTTTGGACTGTGTTACTGTACTTGTAGGCGTCTACGATCGTACGACCGGCATACCGGTTATTGGCGTTGTTTCCCAACCCTTTCACAATAAATTAGATGAAAATGTATATCGTTCGCTGGTGTTCTGGGGAGTATGTCTACCGGAGCTACAAGCGAACAATTGTCAATTTGAGCGGCCAGAACGTGACAATCGTTTAGGTATATTCTCTAGCTCGGAAAATGGTGATATTCTCCAGCGGATCATGGAGTTGGGATATGAATTTGCTTTTGCTGCTGGCGCTGGTCATAAAGCATTAAAAGTGATTACCTGGGAGGTAGATCTTTATTTGCTGAGCAAAGGTTCAACTTTTAAATGGGACACCTGTGCACCCCAAGCTATATTACGTTCATTAGGTGGCGATATGTATAGTTATCGTGGCAGTATTGGAGATTCCAAACCTACACCACTCAGTTATATCGAAGATGGTGAAGAAACGGCAGACACGAAATGTAATAAGGACGGTTTGATAGCAGTACGTGATGTAACCTTATTGGATGATTTATTGAAGAAGTTAACGGAGTAAATGTGGCAGGGATGGGTAAAACTTATCAAAGAAAGCTTTTTATTGACAAAGGAAGTAGTAGGCGCGTGATTGCAGGTTAGAATACTTGGTTAAAGTTATTATATATGTACTTTTGCTACGTTTAGAGTGAAAGTTTAATATTTTAAACGATTATTGTTTATATTGTAAGAATTAAGTCTGCGATCATATATTAAATAGGATAAAAATGCATACATGTATTTTATATAATTTATTAAGTGCAATGTAATTAAGCAATCCTAACTTTTAAAGCTTGTGTTGCATACTGTTAGGCGTTCAACAGACAAAATCGGTTATTAAGTTTGTTTGAGTACGCTAATGTTATTGAAAACAAATTCAGTGGGTATTGGGTGCAGTTTGTGAGAGTAAAAGCTTAAAAGAAATATTTTTCCTCTACATTTTACCTACCTCAATACAACAATTAATACGTTTTTTTTTCGTTATTTTAAGCAACTGATTCAAGCCGGAGTTTGGAAGTGATAAAAGCTTTATCCATTGTTAAAATATTTTGTTTATTTTTCGCTTTTATTATTACCTCATTTCAAACATATAAAATGCTTCGCTATTGCAAATACATTTAAACAAACAATTACATACATTATTTTACGGCTCTATCAGTAATAAAAATTAAATAAATTCAAAATACTAAATTAAATGTAATTATTGTTAAATACAATAAATGTACGCTATAAAACAAATATTACGTACACTCTTTTAATATGTATTATGTTAGCTGCAGAAAAACTTTAAATACATTACATAAATTACAACAGATGACGTCGTGGGCGAAAAATAGTTAATATGTATTCAAATACAATATATCTAAGAAATCTGAAATTATTATTTATTCAAGTTGTGCATTGAATATTAAAAGGCTGAGCAAAAGGCACAGCAACATAGATGCATACAGTCAGTTGGAAGTCAAAGCACATGCATTCGTATGTCAGCGAAAGTATGCCATAAAATTTAAGAATTTTGACTAAAAGTGATTGTTATCTAAAGGTTGGCAGTAGCAAATTTAAATTTTAAATATACACTTACAAATATAAATATTCAATTTTATTCGGATATGTTGGCATTTACAGTATTTATACTTAAGAATTAATAAAAAAAAATGTTATGGAAGCCGTTTGTATTGTAATAAAATATATTGTTTATAGGAGTGCAAGGAACACATAAAAACACACTCACATTTTACTGCCTTGTGAATAAAGTTTTGCTGTACATTAAAAGTTTACTTTACTGACTATTTTGTTGTTTTACTATGCGCTTATTTGTGTGTTTTTATGTTGACAGTGGCTATAACTGCCTGTACATATGTGCATACGTACATACATATATCAAGTGTTGCATATATTAAATACAAAATCGTAGGCACTTAGTTAACGCGTTGTCCATTTAGGATCAACGGTTTGGTTAGACTTTAATTGAAAGGTATCATTTATGCTTAAGCTTTTGGCTTTTTGGCCTTCCTTGACGCATAACTGTAGTAATTGTTGCGTATGTTAAGCAGGCATTTTACTACGTTTGTGTTCAGAAATTCTTTTTCATAGACATTTCATGTGCTTTACGTAAACGCTGCCTCAGTTCGCTGGGGAAACGTTCATAGCATTTTTTGCATACCGGTTTCTCATCGTACTCGTAAAATTTCGATTTCTGCGTCATTTTCATATCGCATATGGAGCAAGCGAAATGATGCACACACCATGCTTTATTGAGTGCGGTGAATACTATGGAAAAGAACGAGAAAAAAATATTTAGGCGATAATTTTGTATAAAAAAACCCACATTAAATAACGAACTTACCATCGCCAGCTATAACTTGATTGCAAACGAAACATAAATTGCCAAACAATTGATGATAATGTGTTTCGCAGTATGCCAAGCCGCGCTTTTCGTAGTGACGATGACCCAAGAAAGGCTTCTCACATTTGGCACAAACGAAATGCTACAAAAGGAAAGCAAATTAAGTTGAGACTTTAGCAATATTTGATCACGAAATTCTTTCAATTTAAAAATGTACCTCAACATGCCAATGCTTGCCCAAAGCGGTAACAACACGTTCCTCGATCGGCCGACGGCAGGCGCCGCAAATCGGTATGCCCATTTTGTCATGACAACGCAAGCAGTATAATTCGTTCTGAAAATATGCAAAGAATCAAAAGAAAAATATTTAAAAATATAGATATAAAAACGACGGTTAATATCAACGCTCACCATATCATTGGCCGTTAAGCCCGGCCGACTTTTGACTTCGCGTGCCGTTGAGTCTAATTCCACGCCACAGGCAGTACAATTGAAATGATAACCATGATAGACTTCGCCACGGAAACGCAAAGGCGCATCATCAATGACGCCACTGAAAAATGTGAAAAAAATAAAAAAAAAAAATAAATAAAAAAAATTTAAAAACAGACAAGTTGTAAAAGAATGTTAAGAGAAATAGATATTTGCGCATAACAAGCCGTATGAAAGTCACTTTTGCAGGCGCTTTCGCCGACGATCTCATACGCCACAACTTACTGGCATTTATGACACATATAACGGCCCGTTATCTCGGCCTTCACTTTGGCATTGCACTCATGGCATAAGGCACGATTTTGATTGCGTATAAAACCGGTATCGGCTAACTCTTTGGCACACATTTGACAACGGAAGCACTGCGGATGCCAGCTAGCGCCCATCGCTTTGATAACACGCCCAATCACGAATTCACCACATTTATTACAACAAGGTGCAAAGAGTACATGAAAATCGCGTTCACAATATTTACGACCCTCGAACTCGTAAAAGATGCCATCCTCAAAGGCACGAAAGCACTGTGCACAGCTGTAGAAAGAAAGAAGTAAAGTTGTTTGCATATTTATAAATTTTAATATTTTACTGAAATACTTACACAAAACACTGTGTGTGCCAGAGCTCACCATTTGAGTTGACAATCTTTTCGTTGGGCTCAAAACCATCCGCACAGCGGGTACAATGCATTGCAGCTAGCGACATGTCAGCTGCTTGTACTCTACAAAGAAATAAGTAATAAAAAAAAAATTATTAATTATGCTGTTTATAGCTACATAAGTGAGAGAAAGTGTGTAAAATATCTATGCAAAAAAAAAATACATTTTCATTTTCAATGACATCTTTGTTTCACTGCAATTTTCAACTTGCGCACTTCCACCACTTAAATTACACTGAGCTGATTTACAGCTCCAATGACGACTACAAGTCTTGGAAACTCTTTTTCGTTATCAGAATATAAAATGAATCGTTGGCTTTTCGGACAATAGTGACTAATATTTATTTACTTCGTGCATACAAATTTTATTGGTACAAAGCATGGCGACCTTAAACTTGAGTTAACTTTTTTTTTATAAATAAAAAAAGAGCGTTACACTGATAAGCTGAATATGCTTTATTACATGCCATAGATACGTGCAGATGGACATTATTGCTTTTATGAAGGAATTATTGTAAATACATACATATAAGTATATTTTTCAGCCAGCGCGAAAACTTTTAATGAGTTTTCAGTGCAGAGAAGACTCAAAAAAATTTATTCAAAAATCGCAATTATACACGCTACAGATTTACATTTGTTTTTAGTTTTTTATGTACGTATGTATGTACATACATATGTTTGTACGATTATTTTCAACTTTTCACAGACATTTCTACTTTATAAACACGTTCATAAAATTGAAATTGGATCATGTGGGCTAGTGCTATATTTAATAATTGTTGTATTTTACAAAAATATGTAATTAATTACATGGCCATCGCACATTTATACCCGCTCACAGTTCGTAAAATATCTACGCACAGATATCAAGAAAAAAATAAACAATTTATTTTTTAGAAATAATTTATATAATTATGATTTTTATTTTTTTCTTTAGTTTTTAATTGTTTTAATAACAAATAATATTTTTTTCTGATTTAAACAAAAAAAACCATACACACATGTGACAACAAAGCTCTGAAGAATGAAGACAACAATTTTTTTTTATTTAAATACAATTTTTTATCAAAGATTAATGCACGAGCATCAAGAACGATTGCATCACCACCACTAACACTCACCAATCAGCCAAACAACCACTAGGTGATTTCAAATTATATATAATTTTTATTAATTGATGAGAATATTCTGATATTCGTTTGCGCTACGCTTGAGACCGTAAGTTGTTCGCCCACTGAACGCGTAGTCACTAAATCAGGGCAAACTTAATGTGTGAAGGTGTGCTACAAAAATGGATTATGAACGTGTGCTGCATGGCATAGCGTGACCGTAAATTATATTGCAAGAAAAAAATATAGCGCAATGCGAGCGATATTGGAGCATTGCGGCAGAGATTGTGGCAAGCGCGCACAATATACAAATGAAGTATCTATGATGAAGTCAATGAAAGGGCTTACAATACTGTATATACATATGTATGTATGTAGAAAACGTATTTACTTGCAAGAAAGGGGCTTTCTGAATTATACATACATACATACTTATGTGTATACCTATGCAAATTAATATTGTGCCTGTGTCCGAGGGGAGATTACTCACGAATTGGCAGATGTTCAAAGACTACTAAAACCATATTTTCTTTGTAACAAAAAAAAAATACGTAAGTATATACATTCATACATATTAATGTATTCATACATATATATATATATATATATTTATATATAAATTTCAATATGAATAAATTGTATGCATTTGTACATACAAATGTTTGTATATCTTAAGGTCTATTACGTATTAGTGGATTAGACCGTGTCATGTTTGGCTTTATTGAGATAGCAATTTAACTTATAAACCAAAGAAACAAATGTAAAAATCATAAGATAAAATAATGCTTAAACTAAAAAAAAGTTTTATTTTTCTTGTTTCTTAATATTTATTTTAGCATACTTTGGCATACAACTATACATTTCATACATGTAGGTATATACAGAAAAAACCTTGCAGTGGGCAGAAAAACATGTTATCAAGCGTTCATATCAAAAAATACATACATATATGTATAACCATAGCATACAGATGTATGTATGGATATGTAGGTAAACTAAATATATATTTACTTAAGTTATTGCATGGAAAGAATTTATTCTAATATATATATTACCAGCCAGCTTATCTCACTTTTTAATGAACAACTTTAAATTGCGAAAGTAATATGTGACGATGAAGATACATATGTACATACATACATATGTACCTACTCATTTAAAAAAAAACATCAAATATGTCCTATTTATATGTGTGTGCATAAATGTGTTTTGAAGATTTTGTTCATTCTTTGATCGACGATCAACAAAACATATGAGCAGCTAACACAAGCTATGGCGCTGGGCATTCATAAAATAAACACATTCAATTATTTCACTATAAATAGAATTATGTGTTGGTGGATGACGTCACTGATGAGCAAAGGCAGCTATCATGTGTAGTAAGACCAATGTTTTATATAAAGACAAATTAAAGAGGTATTTTTGCCATTTAAACTTTGGAAAGATATAGAGTGGAAATATAGTAACTCTACATAGGTGATCTTTCAATTATATAGTTCAATACGTCTTAACTGCATCAACTACACAAAACATACATAAGTCTACCGTGGGCGTCATTCATAAATAAGCAAATGAATGAAATCCATTGGAATGCAGATAATCAACATTAAAAAACCACTCGACAGTCATTTGTGCCCCAATTGAAAATGAGTTCAATTTGTATTAAGCCAGTTTATATACATAACTATATATTGTAGGTATAAATTTCTTACGGCACAGGCGACATTATGGGCGTTCACTTAATTGCAAATGAAGGCAGTTTATTTAACAGAATTTACACTAGCTTGATCTTGACTCTTGGCCGAGTATCTACAACTCACACACAGCACGTTTGCTTTCCAACTGCTTTTCACTAGCGTTCGTATTGACTGTTTTGGTGATTTGACAAAGTTGTTTGGTTGCTGATTGGTAAGAGCACACTTGTGATCTTTGCGATTAACACCCCAAATTTGGCAAAACCGAGATTCTTCGGTTTCCGTTGTCTCTCCATTAGAAGAGCAGAATTCCTTTAGCGATATTAACCGCTTTCTTTTTAACAATTTCCCTATTTAACACACTTCGATGTTTATTAATTTACGTAAATTTTGTTTACCTGTTGCACTTACTATCGATTCTATAATTTTGATGTTAAAAAATGCGAAAAATCGGAGAAATATTTCTACGAGTTGGTATAAAAAATAATGAATGAAAATTGTCAAATTGACAACATCTCAGGTGAAAATGATGATGCCACCTGAGATTAGATAGTGCTTAGGTGCGCCATCTGCAGGAATTCAACCCAAAGAAATATATCAGAAGGATATAAAATTTTTTAAGTTTATGATATTATTGCAATGGTATATTTTAATTTTAAATATTTTTTTTTCAAATTTTTTTTAACAATTAACCGCTGAAATTACTTTTTAATTGTCGCCCCAGTGAGTTAATTGTATTGTTACGATTTTACTGAATCAACCTCGATTATTTACTAGATCCTTCGGGTACGATCTCTGGATTGTTAAATAAAAACTCGCCAACTTAGTTTGCAGTTCCTTTCGTTATAAAGATTCTATCTAATGTCCTTTATTTTCTCAGTAATTCACAATTCAATTATACTGCACTTTACTATTTATAATCACTAACATCAACTTTCACAATTTACTCTACTTAAATGTAATTCCCAACGCGTTCACTTTACGTCTTCACTGATGTTAACGCCAACCAATTTGCTTTGTCACTGCTTGACTTGCAGCTGAGTGTCGCCTTTATATAGCAGTCGGCTGCTCGCAGACGAAAGCGTAGAAGCATCGAATTGTTCGCTATGGAAGGTTCTTGTGTTATCGGCTTCTCTCTTTCATCTGACATTCGCCTCGCATTTTCGCAACAGTATTATTTATAAATGGCCACACTATTGGGCATTATTCGATGTAAACACAAACAGCTGTTACGCTCTATCACTGGCATAAAATCAAATTTACTACAAACACAGTTATGAATATTTTCCGTAGTGCAACCCGTAAGTTTAGCAATAAAAATAAATCAATTTTAAGCGACATTTATTGGCTTACAATTTTTATTTAGTTACATTACGATCTGCACAATTGCACAGAATGTCGGCAACACCACAAACTGTACCGATAGAGGCGGCAATACGTGCAGCACTCTCGGATGAATTGCTGCCAGTTCATTTGGAAGTAATCAACGAATCCTATATGCATAATGTACCAAAAGGCTCAGAGACACATTTTAAAGTTTTGGTAGTCTCGGAGAAGTTCAATGACTTAACCTTAATAAAGGTATTTCACAATGCTCTTTATATATTTCGTATCTACCATAATTTTTATTTTATATTTAAAAGCGCCATCGTTTGGTAAACTCTATAGTACAAGAGAAATTGGCAGGTAACTTTGTACATGCACTATCTATTGAGGCTAAAACTCCAAAACAATGGGATCCTAATTACATTGTTGAACCTAGTCCGAATTGCCGTGGCGGTTTTGGCAAATAAGTTTGATTTACACTATTAAACCTTCGTTTATTCATCAAAAATATACAATATAAAAATTATTATAACAAAGTTGATAACAATCCATATTTATTAATAACGTCAACACCTGTCAAGTTAAAGGAGCTATACCTCTGAGATGTTCAGGGACTCAACTTGTGTACGTGCTGACAATATAACGTCATTAATACCAACGCCATCATATGCTGCTCCACACAATGAAATTGGCAGTTTGTACTGATTTATATATCGTCGTATGTCGGCAACACGTTGTTTATGTCCCACCGTATACTGAGGGATACATTTCTTTAGTACGTGCACCCGCGTGAAGCGTGGTTCCTCCTTGATACCCATGACTAATTCTAAATGCTGTAAAGCTGTGTCCAATAACTGCTTCGGTGTTGGGTCTTTGCCAAAATTTTCTTTAAACCAACGTCCACCCATCATAACCGTAAGTATCGTATTACCTTCCATATCGAAACAACAACTATCGAAGATGACACCAAGTATGGGTAGGCGCTCAATAGGTGGTACTAAAAAGCCAAAAGCTTTCATTTTGAACAACTCCTGTACATTATATTGTAAGTTAACTACAGCCACATCTACATATGGTATAGACATGAGTAAAGCTGCCAAAGAAGGATGCTGATTTTTCACACAAGTTGCTAGTTTATAAGAAGGAATTGAAGAGATAATATGCTCTGGATAAATGTCACGTCCTTTAATATTCATTTTAGCGCCATCACGTGTGAACGTTATCTCTCGACATTCTGCTGAAAACTGGATATCAATCTCTTTACTCTGCAAATGATCACGTAGTGTACGTGGCAACGTTTCTATGCCATCCGGCACTCTGTACATACTCCATTTTTCCTGGCGCGCCTTATCGTACAACTTTGGCATTGCTTCTGCGAAAATACCCTTGCTAACGGGTTTTTCATTTTTTCCAAAAAGTTTCTCAAATATTACGCCTTTTATTATGCCACCCCACTTCTGTTCCTTTTCAAACAAGTCATTCATTAGAAAACGTACACTTATTTCCTTTGCATCACCAGCACAAATGCCACATATCATCGGACTAATAGCATAGGTGGCCAACTCAGTGCCGAAACGCCTTTCTACAAAATCATAAATAGATTCATCTGCAAATTTTAACTTCTTTTTACCTGCAGTTAAATCTTGTTTAATTTGACTTATAAGTGGCTTGCTAAATGGCGGTAATGTTTTAAAAATTCCACTCAGACTATTGGGCAGCAGGCAAAGTTGACCCTTGGCATATATCATCCGGTTTTTGGCAGCAGGTTGCCATGATTTAATGGGATCGACCGGCAAATTTAATTCTTCGATTAATTGTAACGTATTCGCACCTGGAATACCCTTTGGTCGAATTGTGCGTGGACCCACTTCAAATAAGAAACCTTTATCTCTATGCCTCTCTGTGCGTATCCAACCACCGACACGATTAGAGGCTTCATATATTGTTGCAGGATATCCGAATCTTTGCAGCATATAATAAGCAGCCGATAGGCCACTGATGCCAGCGCCTAAAACAGCGGTCATTATGGTATAATAAAATAATACTGTTATGAAAACGACTTTAGAGCGAACTTAATTGACGAAAATTATTTTTGAATAAAATAAATTCGTAAGAAATAAAACTAATCTCTGACAGCTGTAAGACAATCAGCTTTCTTTGTTTTGTTTATAAATTCTTTGCCATTGTTTTTGTTGTTTTGATAAGAGCAGCTGACTTTTAGGCATTGTTCAATGCGTACACATATGCCTAATAAACATAACAGTGACGTCCCATTGAAAGTTACAATTAATTTATTCTATCTCTCTCTTCCTATGCTTCTACCAGTGGGCTCTGCATCGAAAACTTAGAAAGCTATAGTATCCTTACCCATCCGTACCGCATGATCTAGACAACGTAGTCGCGGTCTCTTTGCCTATGTCTATGTCTATTTGCTGAGCTATGTCGATGTCGCCGTATATCTCGTACAGCTCACCCGTTCCATCGGTAACGGTGTTCGCGTTTGACAATTCGTAAAGTAACCAAAAGTCTTACAAACTTTTCTTGATAACGCCTTAGGCTGACTAGTCAGGTGTTGTCATCGAGCTTGCCGTAGCACCACAGAGCAGACGACTGGGAGTAAGAAAAAACCAATGGAAAAAGTTTCCTCCTTCTTATTTATATCCGACCACCCTAGTGCCCATGCATATCTGTAATTGTCAAAAGCATGTGCAACGTATCGGATGAGAAGTTTAATTTCGGACGGAAATAAAAATTTAAAAGCGGATATTTGTCCGATTATCGTATGAAAATTGAATAAGAGACAAGCAAATGCTATAAACGACGAGTAAAACGATGTTTATTATATTCAAGCGGAAGTTGAAAGCGGAAAGAATGATTCAAGAGAGCAACAGCGGAAGTGTGAGTAGCAGAAGAGCTGAAAAAGGTAAGAGGCACACACAATGTAAATAACGGTAAACATCACACGTATTTCGTTTTGTGCGCCGAAAGAAGAGGATTAAAACAAAGCCAAGAATAAAGTGCGGACAACAAAGCAAACACATGACACAAGAGCAAACAATTCGGCGCAAAACAAATTTACTAACATAATCAAATTACAAAAAAATAAAAAATTGAAACAAAGAAATATGGAAGAAGTCAACAAAACAACTAGTGGAAACGAACAAGAGCGCGTTGTTGTATCGATTCGGAAAGGTCGGCAAACAGGCGCATACCGAAAAAGCTCTGGCCACGACAACAGCGACGACGGTAGTTACCAACGATGGCCTGGAGAAAGTCTGCACCTTTCAGACTTGTATCCGCTGCCGTTGCGAAAGGTTCGTTCGTGTTTGCGCTGGGTGGCCGTGTCTTTGACTAAAGCAGAGCAGTGAAAAAAACAGTAACACAGTAAAGAAAAAAAAGCCAATTTTCTTCAACGTATACTAGAAAAAAACGCATTCTAAATTGGAATTTAAGCAAAAAAAAAATGAAATGCGAAATTCGCGTACAAAAGTGTAAATTAATTGTGTGAATGTAATGAAATTGGTGCAAAATGCAGCAGAAAAATTTACTTGCTGCAAAGAAATGTTGCCCTAATTTCAGAAAAAGTCGCAGCTGAAAAATTTTTTCATGCAGCAAAACGAGCTCAGCAGTGCAAGCAAATAGGAAATCACATGAATCTTTATGAAAAATAAACGAAATATATTAAAAAAATTCTAAAAGGTGTAGAAAATTAAATAAAGCCTTCAAAAAAATTAAGCATTTCAAACGTTTTTATACAGAAAAGTGTGAAAATTTATGATGAAAATGCAGTGAAAATTCGCAAGAAAATTTTCGGTATGTGTGTATTTGCCAGCTTGTAGGTATGCATACCTTAATATATATATATATGTATGTATGCACATATGTTTGAGCATGAATCGGTATGTGTATATAAGCATAATAGTTTGACGATATGTGTGTGTATGTACGCTTGCTTGCTTGCAGGGGTGTACTGGGGCTTCGTGAATAGGACACATTCATATTTTTTCTCGTTCGTTTTTCGTTTTCTAATAAACATTGCTATCAACCAACATCGTGTGTCCTGCTGTGAAGCATTGAAAACGAAATAACGAAGTCACTGAGTGAGTGAGTAGTTAAGTGTATTTGTGTGTGTGTGTGCCAAACGAGCAAATGAGCGAGTGCACGAACGAGCGGAAACTCGTCAAATGTGTGGCAGACAACGCCAATATAATTAAAATAACTGCCATGTGTAAAGGAATTCAGAGTTTTTGTGTAAAGAAAAAATTAATAAAAATGTTAAATAAAAAAAAAATCGAAAATAAAAAAATAAGTTTCATTGAAAACATAAGAAAATTAAACTATTTTAGCGGACGTGAATTTCATTAAAAAATGAGTTGTGTGAAATAAGTTAGAAAATATTTAAAGAAAGTAAAACAAAAAAGAAACATATTAAAAATTGGGAATTTCACATTAAAACCAAATATCTTTAACAAACAGCAAATTAATACAAACATACTTTTATAACTGTATATTTCCAACTTTTTCGCCATTCCCTTGTGCATCACTTTTCCAACACATTTTGGCGCTTCTATTTGCCCAAATAGCAACTATACTCCCCTCCTGTTCTCTAATCTACATGTTTTCCCTTCTCTTACTCGCTTCTCGTTACTTAGCACTTCTACTCTATTTTTCTACCAGCATTACTTCATGCACATGCTATTTCTCATTTCCTTTTGTTTGTCTATACACATCCTACAATCACGTTGTTCAACGCTCATGACTACTATCTCCCGCTGCTGTTATTTTTGTCTCTATATATTGCTATACATATATTATAAGGATATTCATAAAATGTAGAGCAGCACTACTGCTCCTTTCTTCCCAACGGCCACCTACATATATAATATTTATATATGTACATAGTAACTGAATACCCGAGAGTTGCTACTTTTTCTAGTCAATTTTTTATTCTACATTTTATTGCGCTTTGTAGCGTGTTTCTTGCTCGTTATACGCCCCCCTTATGTTGAGGTCTTCGTTGTTTTTGTGTTAGTTATTTGTTTGTTAATGTGTTCGTTGGCATTCATTCCTTGATTCAGTTTGTGCTTTTGCTTCGTTCGAGTTGGAGACTGGCATTTGAGTTCGACAAATGTGCTCAGTAGGTTTTGAGACTGGAGGTAAGAGGGCTGGCTCAGTGTTGTGGTTGTGTGCGCTAAGTAGGAATTTGAAGTAAATAAATAAAAATAAAAAAGCTTTTATAGTGCGAACTTTTAATTTCACACATTATTTGTGGTCACTCATACGCTCCGTCTAACAACAGGATTTTGAATAAAATATAAATTAAATTGAAAAATATCTTAAAATAATTTATCCTGTTTGCGCAGTTTTTTCCATAGTGAAATATATTTCCTTTTTGGAAATAGTATTTCCTACGAGCCACTTACCACACGATTGTGGATATGAATAGATGTTTAGTTGCTAGATGGCATGCTATTCAAAAACACCCGGTCGCAAAGCATAGCACGGAAATTCAATTTCAACATATTCCTTCCACATTTTCTATTTCCTTCATAATAGATTTGTTGTTTTAGTTTTTTGTTCCATACATAAATACATTCATACAAATTCAGTAGAGAGCCCGTACAGCAAACAAGTTTATGCTTCGCTAACGTGGCTAATTTCGAAATGGATTGTATGACGAGAGCCTTATGAACCTTGAGTTATTAAAAAGGATGCTTACAAATGTTTTTTTCATAACATTTTCATAATTATTTTTATTTAATTCTATTTAATTTTATTTATTTTATTCAATTTTTTTAAATTTTATTTAATTAATTTAATTTGAATTTATTTAATTTTATTATATTTTATCATGTTTTATTTTATTTTGTTTTAATGAGTTTTATTTAATTTTATTTTAATTTAATTTAATATACTTTATTTATATTTATTTTCTTTTATTTTACTTTATTTTATTTTATTATACTTTATTTCATATTATTTTTTTCTATTTTATTTCATTTTATTGTATTTTTTTAATTTAATTTTATTTTGCTTTATATTTTTTAATTAATTTAGTTTTATTTTATATTATATTATTTTTATTTATTTTATTTTATAATACTTTATTTCATATATGTTTTTTCTAATTTTATTTTATATTGTTTTCCTTTATTTAATTTTTTACTTTTTTTTACTTTTTTGTATTTGTTTTACTTTTATCTTATTTTATTTTATTTTTCTTTATGCTATTTGATCTGATTTGATTTTGATCATTTTATTTTATTTTCATTTATTTTTTATTAAATTTTAATTTGTTTTCCTTTATATATATTTTTTGTTTTTTTTATTTTTTTTTTATTTTACCCTGTTTTATTTTCATTATATTACTTCATATTATATTATATTACTTCTTCATATTATGTTGCTTTTGTTTTTTATTTTATTTCTTTATTTTATTATTTTATTTTACTATATTTTTATAGCATTTAATAATTTTATACCATTCATTTTGTTATTTTTTCATTTATGTTTAATTATTTTAATTCATTTCACTTTATTTGATTTATATTTAATTTAATTTAATCTAATTTGAATAAATTTAATTTATATTATTTTAATTTGAATCATTTTATTTTATTTTGTTATTTTTAATTTATTTTAATTTAGTTTAACTATATAACTATGTAATTTTTATTTGGAGATAATATCTAAGTGTCATATATACTTTCGTTTTAAATAGAAAAACACCTTCCCAACTCTTGCAGGATATTCACATTCCGCAACAAATTCAAATGAGGGAGTGTTGTGAGTGAATAACATATGGTGTAACGTTTGTAGTGCTTCAATGTATACATACATATATTTACATTGTAAGATGTGATTTTATATCTCGGTCACATAACGACACTGTAAACAAACATTCGCATGCCTGCCTGTATCTGTATATGTGTACATGCTGCGCGTAGAAACTAGGGCAATGTGCGTGCGTTTGAATTCCTTGGGAATAACAAGCAAAAGTATTCGAACTTGTAAACGGATGAGCCGTCAACCGACCGAAAAGAATGGAGGGCGAATGAAGCAACGACCGACCGACTGACCGAGAGATTGAGCGAAATACGCCAACAGTCGCCGCAGTGTCTCAGTTTTGGCGTGTGAATAGCCTCGACACATCAACTACACGATAAAAAGATACAGATATGCGAAATGTTGTTGATATATGTATGCATGTATGCTGCATACAGACTTACAGTTGTATTTGTATATGTATGTATATATACAAATATTTTCGTGACAGATACAGTAATATTAAAGAACGTCAGAATTACAAAAAAATTAAAATTATTCAAGTTGGCAAAATAAATAGCAATTAATTTCCTTAGTAAGGATATTCTCTGCTTAAACAATGCATTATGTGTGCGTATGATTAACAATGGTTTCTACGGAGATAGTACGTCAGAGCGTATGATGAACAATAATAATCAACCGTGTGCAAATATTTAAATATATCTTCAACCGTTCTCCAAAAAAAAAAGATTAAATTAATAAAAATATTGCAAATGAATTACAAACGATTTAAAGGAACTTAATCTTAAGTAATACAGTCTTATATGAAGAAACAAATTAAAAAAAATAAGTGAATAAAACGTATGTCTAGCAAAAAACGAGTTAAATAAATGAGAAGCGGTGAAAAATTGTATTAAAAGAAGTCTAAGAAATAAAAGGAAAGAAAGTAATACATTTTTAGAGTGCTTTACAACACGTTGAAGTCTCTAAAATCCTTTCATATTATAAAAAAAATAATAACGAGAGATATTTAAACACAGTTTAATAAAAAAACTCTTAAAAAAGTATATATTTTGTATGTCAATATTAAATAAACCCGATCTTGTTGTTTATAATTAAAAACAACTCCACGGCGTATGATGAACAGTTTTTCCTTTTTTCTTTCCGTTTTATTTACTATAAAATACAATTAATTGCATTTATATTGATTTTATAAAATCAAAACGCGTTTTTATCACAAAAAATTGTATGCACATATATTATTAACAAAAAATACTCTACATAAAAATAACTTAACATTTTGAAATTAAACTACAATAATAAGACAGATTTTCAAAATAAAATATATTAAAAGTTCTCTTATCCTCAATCATTTATATCCGCATTTAATACTATTTGAAAATTTAAACAAAAAAATAGTAATTTTCTGCAATGTTTTTAAATTTTGAATTTTTAATTTAAATAAGTACAAACATACAATTGTATTTATATATGCATTTTCTCGCTGGCAATGGTGGGAGAATTTTTGTTGTTGCCATTGCTAAGCTTTTTCGGAATGTGAGCGCATAGCTCGTTACTAAAGAGCGCAAAGTTTCAAAGAAACGAACGATAACGAAGTGTGGAAGTAAATGTTAACGAACGAAGCAAGGCAAGGATAACAATGTGTGGATTAAAGCAAAATAGTAGCATTTTTTATGTGCTACAGACACAACGAACGAGCGGGAAAATATAAAGAAAAATTTTTTTTTTTTAAACTATGAAAGTAAAAGTGAAAATTGCATTGAAAATATCAATTTAAAATTAGGTGCGAAGTGAAAATTAAAAAAGTTAGCAAACACGAAAATAAAGAGAATACACATATATATATATGCAAAAAAAACAGTAATAAATAAGTTGCGTAGCAAGCTGACAGTAAAAGTGTTTGTGCTTAATGTCTGTACTTATGTGAAAGTTAAGTCTCAGTTTTATTAAATTTTTTTTCTTTTTTTAATATTTACAGCACGACGTCTACGCGTTAAAAAAGCAACGAAATTTCTAAAACAAATATACATGGCATTGTTATGAACAAAGTTTCGCAATTACGAAAATATATTTAAAAAATGGCTAATTAGTTACCGTTGATATTAAATGCTCTTGTGTCTACTAGCAAGCTTTTGAAAGCAGCAATCAGCAATCAGCAAATTTAAATGCATTGTGCAGCATAATTATAAAACAACAACAGCAACAATAGCAAACAAGCAAAAATATGGTATAATATTACGCACAAGTAAATTGCAGTGTATAACAAAATTAAAAAAAAAATATTAAATAAATAAATATACATATATATATATATATATATATATATATATATATATATTAACTCGTATTTAACAAATAACAATTCATAGCAATACGTAAAGCAAAGAAATGAAGCAAAATATTTATAAAAGTTCTCAAATATTCATGCGTATAAAATAAACTCGCGCTTGTCGTTTAAATAAATTCTAAAAAAATACATATACATATATAACTACTATCACTACTACTACTACTACTACTACTTCTAACTACTACCGCTACAACAACTATATACAATACTACTAATCGTACCCACTAAATTATAAATATATATAAATGTATGTATTTATGTATGTATTAACAATATAACCAAATTTACTTAACGTTTTAAATAAGCGTTGCGTGTTCATCATTAGCAATTAGTGAATTCTCAGCAAATATCAGCAAATCAATCAATCGTTTAATTATTAACTAACAACAACAAAACAACAAAAGCACTTTACATACGCATACTCACGTTAACATTATTTCCAAATAAAGTCGTGAACGAAAAAATGATATAATTGCGGTGCGTGCGTATGTGTGTGTGTGTATGCGTAATAGCTTTGCGCAGGTGCGCAAACGAAAAACCGCAATCAAGAACAATCGCTACTGGCTGAAGCATGCAAAATTGCATAGTGTGAATGTTGGCAACGCTGGCGTGCCTCGGTGGTTTTGCCTGTATTAGGAATAGGTGAGTTGGTAGAACTAAGATACATTTTTATTTATAAGTTATTTTATTATATAGGATATTTGTTGTTGGAATTTTTCCTTGCTAAGTAGTTGAAATACCAATACTTGAATATATCAGTACTTCCTCTCAGAGTTTCATTAATATGTGCTCTTAAATAGTTCTCTGAATAACTTAAATAACTTAAAAAACTACAAACACTTAAAAAAAACATTGTTGGGCTACTCATCTTGCGGTTTCGAAAATAAATATAAATAAAATTTATTTAAATCTTTTTTTTTATGAAATTCCTTTTTTTTTCTATAAACTTTGAACCTTGGAATTATATGGGGAAAACTGCATCATTCAAATGACCGTCCCATACTCTTTGGCGTAATTTTCGAACACTTTTTGGCACATACGAGGGGATTAAGTTGACCAGAAAAAAGGTTTTTTGTATTTATTCGTAATGTCAGCCCTTTTTTATCTTCTCTACATCATCGCCATTGATTTCAATGCATTTCTTAAGCCTATAAATGCAATTCTGAAACAGCCCTCAAAATCTTGCTTTTTATGCTTATTAAGTTCAGCATTAACCGCATTAATTATCCCCTCGTTGTTATTAAAAACCTTTGCTTTCAAATATTTTTCAATTTTAGGAAATAAACAAAAACCATATGGTGCTATATCTGGGGAATGTGGTGCTGGACGTATTTCTTCGATCCCACAGGTCGCAATAAAGTTGCTTCTTATTTCAGCAGCGTGTGATGGCGTCTTTTCATGATGTCAAAGGTAGCGCCGCAAATTATCTTTCTTCCTGTTTTCCAACTAATTTTTGAAAACTTCTGTTAAGCACTCTTTGGTGTACTATTTGGCAGTTACCGTCTGACCCGTTAAAGTAAACTGAAATCGCTACTTTTGTTGCTGATTTTTGTTGTTTAGATTTTACGGTGGGTTTGCTAGTGTTAAGCTCCATACCATGGACTGTTGTTTGGTTTCCAGATCGTACTTATAGAACCACGATTCGTCATCAGTAACGACTTTATTAAAGTTGTCTTGTTTAAAATTCGTTGTAACCGTCGAACAGATTTCTTCGCTTATCCCTGATGAATACTTAATATTCACAATACAGCCAAAGCATTCAAGCCCAATTATTAGCAATCATTTCTTGTGTCAATCGCAGGTCTTCGTCAATTTCGGACTGTGGAAGATTTTGGTCAACCTTCTCGGGGTTCGTCTTCTAGAGAAAAAGTTCGATCTGGAATCTTTGGAAAGACTTAGAAATAGTCTTTAAATACGGTGCAATCGTTTGATATGAAAAAATTCTTTAATTACTAAATTTCAGCTTTTGAATCAATATTTTTCTCTATAACTGAATAGTTTGAAATCTCGACATTAAACAGACGTCTGCCAATCGAGACTCGGCAAGCTCCGTATGTTATGTGAATGTCGCTCTTCGCGTCGGTTCGGCAGATGGAGGGTATTCGTTTGGTCGAGATATCGCGGCCGGGAAATTATTTCGCCATATTCTCTCGTATTCCTATTGAATCAACACAGACCAAAAAAGCCGGTTATCATACAACCTTAACACTCCGAATTGACAGATACAGCCTCGCTGTCATCATATCCAAAGAAGTAAGGTCCAATCATCCTTCGGACGAATGAGCGCACCAGACAGTATTTCTTTTTGGGTGTAATTTACGTATCCTCCTAGTGAAAAATGTGCCTCGTCTGTGAATAAAATTTTGCTCGAAAAATCACCGCAGGCGTAAGTCCAAGTGGATAATGCGCCATAATGTGCCATAACAAAGTTCCAGCTCTAATTTTCACAAATGTTTAACTAATTTTTCACGCAAAGTAAAGGTTTCAGCTTATTTTAGCAGCATTTCTCATCTTCAAGTTTTTTGAGTTTGCCGGACCACTCTCTGCAAATCTTACATTCCATAAGCTTGAGCTGCACTTTTCTTCTAATTAAAATAGAAAATCAAAACATCCCACAAATGCCAGAAATCGGGAAATTCTCGAAGAGGCAAAAAACCATGTTGTTGTCACCAGAAACAGTCGCTGATGAATAATAATGAAAAAAGTAATCGCTTCCAATATCGGCCACAACTTGTGGGTAAGAGCAAGTTGTATATTTCACATGGTGATAATTCTGTTTTGTTTCGGCCAGATTTGCGTTATGTTTGTGAGTAATTTTTTCGGTAGCAAAGTGCGCAGTTTATTTTCTATCGGGAAAAATCTACTTGTTCCTGGTGCATCGAAAATGTACTCCATGCGACACGTGTGAAAGATAGTTCTCCTACAGAGCTCGGTGAAAGTTCAAAAATATTTTGAAGCTATCGAACTTGCCAAGCACATCTGTTGCCATTAGAAAAAGAACTTCGCCCGAAAACACTTTAATGATTTGTCAGCCTAAATGAGAGTTCCATACGAGGTTATTTTTTTTAAAAGAAACCACCAGGGACGACCCAAGTTGATATCAATCCTTTAAACCATTTATATTTCCAAACTGCCAACGGAAATTTTTTCTCTCTCCAGAACTCCTGAGCTCCCCAGTAAATGATTAATATCCGTTTTAGACTGATTTAAAGTTGAGATGGATACCTCTAACAACCGTTACAAAATAAAGTCCAGTTTTAAGAGTTAGAGTACTACATTTCAAACCCAAATTTGGTTTACTTCTGGTGCATCACTGCATGCACTTTAATGCCCATCTTTATATTTTACTTGCAGCATTTACAAGTGGCGCGCCATGAGGGGGTGCAAAGCTGCATCGTAACGATAAATTCCACGTTAATCAAAAAATTTCCATCATTTCGGTTGAAACATTTGGAAATATTAACGATAAAGTAATTATCAGAATAAAATTTCTTTTCGTTTTTACGCGGAATGCAATGCGCTCTGTAATGTTAAGCCGTTAACAGTTAATGTTAAATGTTAAAATTGTAGTGTGCTGTAAATATCATTGCAGGCAGCCATTTTAAAATCAATGTTAACGATGAGTTTGTGCTGTCATTCCGATGGCGCCAAAGCGCAACGGTTTCTTTTGGTTGAGTTAATTTTTCTGGTTGGCGGAACGCAATGAGATTGTTGCGTTTGTTGAGCAACTCTGGTTTCAAGCTCTATGGCTGCTTTTTTTTTGAATACCAGAGTTTAATTAAATATTTTTTTTTATATAACAGCGATATTTAGTTATATTTTAAGTTTATGTATTTTACTTTAGAATAATTTTTTAAACATTTGAATTTAATATTACACATTTTATTTATATTTTAACGATTTATTTCCATTACTTTTTTAATATATTATTATTATTATTCTATGATTAATTATATTTTTTGCCCAAGCTACAACACGAAAAATACTTACAGATAAAAATCAAACGAAAAATGCTATCGTGACTAATTAAGTACCAATAACAGCCGCAAACTTGATTAATTACAAATAAATAATACAAATGGTTTATTGGTGTCCGAACTGTAATGATGTTTCTGTACTGCCGCCACCCTCCGCGCAGGTAAAAAGACTAAAGCGCAATTTTGTCTCTTAAATATATATATATGTAGATTAAATACATAAAATGAAATCAATTCATTACAAAAACTTGAAGTATGGCTAAAGAGAGAGTTCATTATCAGTGTCACGCATACATATAAATACATATATGCATACAAATATATTACACGTACATAAGAGAATATTTATAAGTGATTCACTAACGAGCCTCACCCTTTTAGCAAATTTTTCCCCAAGTCCGGTAAAATTATAAAATGCTTTCTGCGGCTGTTAGCCATTCATTATAATACATTAACTGCTACTCGTACATACATACATATATGCATGCATTCATTATACAACACACCACGTCGTGTGACCTCTCTTTGAAGGTCAAGACAATTTATTGTTTATTGAAGACAGTGACAAGTGTCATTTGCACAAATTATTGTCATACGCGCTTAAGAACCAACGATTGCATGTGTATATAAATATGTGTGTATGTGAAATTTCGCCAGCGAGCAAATGAAATGTACACGTACGAGGTGGAGCATTTATCAGTTGAAGGCTGAGCAAATTAACATTTTTTCTCAGCCACTTTTGGCAACGAGTGACTTATGGAGATCAGCTAAAGAGTTGCAATGAAGAACGATTTGAATACCTAAATGGTCATTTGTAGCAGAAATTCCACTGTACCCAAATGAAATGTCTCAAATTCTACACGAAAATCAATTGATGAGGTTTAACGACGCATTGAATTCAAATGGCGGTGTGTGCTTGCGTGCTTTAGTGTTGGCTTCTTTCGTTTTTCTGTGCTTGCATTGAGTGAGTGAGTGAGTGAATGGTTGGTTAGTGTCTTTTTGTCGCACACGCGAAATGACAAAATGACACTATATTAAACGGAATGCCAGCGAAGTGACAGGTTGAAGGCTTAAATCGATTTTTGCCTATTACAATGCACACACTTAAAGCAACGCACACACACTGACCCCATGTAAATACGATCAAGCGTATAAGTACTTATGAACATCTACTGTAAATATTTGTATGTGAGTATATACACGCTAAAACTCACGCGCCATTTCACTTTCCTTTCAAGCTTATACATACATATGTATTGTATGCGCTTATTTGTGTGTGTTGATATATATATGTGGTTATTTTGCAGGGCAATGACGACAATTCGTCTGGAAAATGTCAATCGCCAGTTAACGACGAACGTCTGTGTGTAAGGGTGAATGGGTAAATAGGTAATATAAGAATTAGGTCAACATAACTGTATACAATATTCATAAATAATAAATACTCATAAATACATAACGGGCAAGCGTATATACAAATTAGTTGACCAAACAGGTTGAAGGTGAGGAAAATAATGATTCGCGGTCTTTGGGATTTCTAACAGACGTAAAAAAATGGAAATATCAGCTCATAAGGCAGAACTATTACTGAACTCTACGCTGATAGCATAGATAAGAATTATAAATGAGAAAATGTATGAATTTTATATGACACAATTTTTTCGGATTATTTTTAAATAATCGCCATTTATTTTTAAATATCTCGTTTTGAGGAAGTTACTCACTGAACTCTGATCAACCACACTTCGGCCTACTGGCCCATTGTGATGCCTATGCTGGTACTGTTAAAGGAGATTCCTTTCACCTTTCCAAATGCTTTAACCACTTGGTGGGTTTTATGAAATTCAGTAGGTTAATATGGCCTACAAATTCAAGCTCTACAAGGCAATCCACCGTTTTATTACCATCTATGTCCCTGCAGATGGGAGCATGAATGCTCATAAGAGAGTGTCCGCTTATTACGACAGTTGTTAGGCTTATCTAATTTCGCTTTAGAAAGAGTAGAGATTTGCTTCTGTTTACTTAGATTTATGGCTAGTCTGAGCAGATAAATTGCTGAGGAAAACCGTATGCTGAAGTCATGTGTAGAGTTTACCGTGGTTACGACTGTTCCCCTACTGGTCAGATTGTCGGATACGCACATACCAGGAGAGTGCCCCTACAGTCGAGCATTTATTTAAGGTGTCTCTGCATTTCATTGGCATCTTCGAGGTAATATGATTTCATTGGACAGACTGACTGTTCAAATAAATTGTAATTGATTCGGTTATCGTATTAGAAGCGAGCAATCATGAAGCGTTTTCTAATATGACGATTAGAACAGCTTGAAAGAAAATATAAGATGACAACTTTGTGTAGAAATAAAGGAAAATTATATTTACCACGAGTGTTTGTCTTTGATAGATTATTTGACTACACGTCTATATGTAGGCAACGTTTTTAAACAATTAGCGCTTCATTTCCTGTCGAAGAAGATTTGTGCGGTAAACGAATGAATTTACTGACTTTCTTGTATTATTTGGTTCTCGTTCAATATAACTTGCATCGCCAAAGGACTACGAACCTCGTTTCCTTATTTGGATTTATCTTAAAGATGAATTTGAGTAAACGGCGCAATAAATGGAACTACATAAACTTAACAATGTTGCCATTATTCTCACAAAATGTCTGATTTGGAATTGCTTAAATTAATAATAATAATAATTTGCATTTTTTCAAGATCTCAATTTTTAAGTGATCAACAAAGTGATTGTTTGCAATGGAAATTATCATCTTATGGCCAAAATCAGATATCTGATTATCTCAGTTGTTTGCGTACCTCTTATATCATTGGATAAGGACTATTTTTTAACGGTTATAGTGCTCAGTTTGAATACATGGAACAAGCTTACCCACGCGCTTGGATAGACATACTTATCATGGTGTAGTTAGGTACATATTTCCCTAGAAGAAGGTACAAAAATGGACTTTTTTTAAATACGAATGCAGGAGAAGATTAGAAATATTCCAGTGAATTTTAACGTGCTGGCATCTTGGAAAGGGAATTCAATACGCAATTCGAAAACTTCGTTTCGTGATTAGAGTCTGAAATTGACTTCGCCATATGGTGGAGGGTTTGTTGTTGTTTCGTTATTATTATGGTGTCTTGCTTAACGCCACTTATAGCCATAGTTACTCTAGGTCGATGAGTTGAACTGACGAACCAGGGTTAATGTCGTACGACGACTCTTTGCACGCGTTTGGATAGGTAGCAGTTAGTCTACTGCAGTGCTTGGACCTTAATTATCAGAATTACTCAGGTCTCGTGAAGGATTTTGAGACCTTCGTCTGCATGGGGGGAGGGGGGTTAGCTGGACTCCCAGCACGCCACTCATGGTAAAAGAGTTTATAAAGTTGGAGACAAACCATTTTTGAATTGCATTTAGGGCCAGTCGTTAGGTCGCCCTGTTTTCTCAAGTACTTCCTTCTTGTTTTACTAAGGTGGTTCGACTTATTTATAATGTTAACAATCTAGTAAATATTGCTCACACATCATAACATTACGCTCTTTTTATTGTGTAAGTGATTCAAAGTTAATATCAGGAGGGCTTTTAACTTCTTAATCTTCCTCTCGCTAGTCTCCGGTTACTTGATTAATGCCGCTTAAAATTCCAAATCGATGTGGCGGAAGTAATGATCAGCCAGCCAATTGCCTTGTAAGTTTTGGGCAACGTTTCTTTGCATTTATCCCTAAGCTCTGGCGTCTTTGCAGTGTGGGCAGGTGGCGACTAGGGAGTGTAAAAATACGTATTCATCCCTATTCTTTAGTGCTTTGCTCTGCCTATGAATCTGAAGATGATAGGTTTATGCCTACTTCTGACGTGGCAAATATAAAAACTCACCAAATCGCCGATCCAAGAAGACTCGGGCTTTGGAACAGTTGAGAGCGTGAATATTCCGAAAAATGAAGCCTTTCATCATCAACAAAGAGACTTAACTGCAAGTACAACTGGACGGAGATGGAGGGGGGAAAGGCTTGCTCGGGCTAAGGGAAAAATGGAGGAAAGTCGAATATGTGTCAAAGTCACTATTAAACTCCACGGGTTTGTAATTCATAAACCGAGTCGAAGAAGGAATCGGTGCTAAAAGGCATCCATCTCTCGTAGCTTTCATGGGCTGCTGCTGAATAGTTACTTGGTGAACATCATCTCATTTCATTCACGAAGATTTTCGAGTACACAAAGATAGATACGATTTCTACACAGAAAAAAGTTCCAGCGCCGACTCATAGGTTTCATGCTTATGCGCCATAAAGTGGAGCGATCAAAATGTTTGTTAACTTTGGTTTTTTTGTCCATACAAGACTTCCCGGTTTGTTTATTTAGTATTTCTTTTCTTAATTTAAAATCCATTTTAATATAGAAAGTAGGCATCACTTAACTCATGAAGAATTAAATATCTTCCACGTGTGTATGTCGTTCATCAATGGCTTCATTCTTCATTGTTTTCCGATTGCACTTAAAATTTTTGATATATTTTCCTTATCTTATTATTCCTTTCAATTTTTTATTTGCACAAACAAAAGTGCTAAAGAACAATGAATTGCTCAAAAAGAAAATATAAAAACAAGGTCACCAAAAAAAAAAAAAAACAATAAATAAAATAAAAAATGAAACAAAATAAGGAAGGAAAAAAGAAAGGTCGACGAAGTGCTGCTGTAATGGACACGGACGCACTATTGACTTCTCGAATGGATAAACAAACAAAACAGCACAGAATGCGTCATTTGCAAGAATAATACACTTAACTTTCTCAGCTCACTCATTCACTTTCAATCGGCACTCATCCTCAGGCAAGGCGCATACATACATACATGTGTGTTTGTTATACTTGATTTCAACTTATGCCATTATATTGTACTATCTACTCAAAGTGCGAGTATTTGTTTTTGGCTTTTCAGCTGTTCAGCTGTTCATCTGGCACAAATGTAAGGCACACATATTTGTATGTTTTTTAATGTTTGCCGGCCATTTGCTTTTCTTCAACACTGCTGGCTCTCATAATTTTAAATTTTATTAATATTTTCTGGCAATAAAAGACACGATCGGCAGCTGTTGTATTGGGGTTGTATGTGTGTATCATATGCGAGGTGGTTTGAATGAACTTTAAGTTCATAAATACG